GCATTCATAGGTGTAGGTCATGTTTATCGAATTGTATCAGATGACGTTTTTTTTCCTCTTCTTTCATCTTCGGGTTGAGCTCTGTTTATCCAGGCATTGAAGCCAGGTTAGATGGGCATCATCTGCAAGTGTGGGTGTTCTTACGTCTGTCCGGCCTCTTTTTATCGGTCCAGCCCTAATCTTACCACTTTAGATTTCTCTCTGTTCCCCAAACTCAAAACACATTTAAAAGGAACAGGATTTGAGTTTCTCAAGGAAGCCCAAATTGCTGTTTTGACACCGTGTAAATGAAAGAGTGCATAATCTTCAGGGAAGAGTTGTTTGTGGTTGTTCAGTGCTATGGAGTCAGTTCCAACTCATAGCGACCCTGTATAGGGTTTCCGAGGAGTGGTTGGTGAGCTTGAACCTCCGACCTTACAGTTCTAACTGACCTTGCATTCCAGCACATTAACCTGTTGCACCACACCAGGACTCCAGGGAGGGCTTAGTGAGATGAACATACTACCTTCAGAGGTGTATGGCTCTAGATGGAGACGATGTCAAGAAATAGTACCTTCACATTTTGATATTTGCTTTATAAATATTTCTTTGGTTTTGTAAGAATACTGTTTGGCTTGTAGTTAGATAAAGCAGTTTCATAGCACAACGTTTTTCACGTGTACGGTGTAGCAATATCGGTTTATAGCACAACACTTTAATTGTACACGTGCAAGTTGAGCCTCGTCAGGTGGTCTCAGGCGTGCCCATGCAGGTGTGCTCCCTGGCCAGCTGACTCTGAGCTGAGCTGTCAGAAGATGCAGGTACTGGGAAGTTGTTTGCCATCAAGTCAGTATCCACTCATAGTGACCCTATAGGACACAGTAAGACTGCCCCATAGGGTTTCCGAGGCTGTATCTCTTTACAGCAGACATTCCTCGAAAACCCTATACAGGGTCACTATGAGTCAGATCTTAGCAACAACAACAGTGATGTTATCTTTTCAGAAGCAGAATGTCTCATCTTTCTCCCGCAGAGCTCTTTGCACTGTTGTTAAATGCTGTTGAGTCAGTTCTGATGGACAGCAACCCTGTATAGGGTTTCTGACGAGTGACTGGTGTGTTTGAACTGTCAGCCTTGAAGTTAGCAGTCCATTGCTTATCCTGCAGCACCACCAGAGCTCTCCTAGTAGGGGTGGGATTAACTGGGGAGCCATCCTTCTAGGAGTCCTGGATTGTAAGGAAAATGTGGAGTGGACTTGAGTGTGGAATCTCGCATTTTCCTTTGTTCTAAGTCAGGGGTGGGGATGTCTAGACCAGGGGCCGTATGTTGTTATTGTTAAGTGCTGTCAAGTGAGTTCTGACTTATAGCAACCCTGTATAGAGTTTCCAAGGAACAGCTGGTGGGTTTGGACCATCGGCCTTGAGGTTCGCAGTCCAGTGCTGATCCTACAGTGCCACACCAGGAGTCCAAGGGCCATATAATCATTTGCTCTGGCCCTGCCAAGGCATCCTCAGTTCCAGCCATTACATTGGCGGTTATGCTGTGGAGTCGGTTCCTACTCATGGCGACCCTATATAGGCCTCCTGAGGCTGTAAATCTTTACAGGAGCAGAAAGTTTCATCTTTCTCCCATGGAACGGCTGGTA